CACGGCCCAAGGCAAAATTCACAACCTTTCGACTCAGCCAGGTAGAGGACCGACAGTGACAGAGCCGGTTCCTTCCTCAGACGGAAGGTTCTCCTAAAAAGCAGGCCAGACGAACGCAGCGCAGAGCGTTTCCACGGGCGGGGTGGGAATCTGCCAGCACGCGTGAATGGGAGGGAAACGAGGGGCTGCCGTGCGGTGCGTCGAGGACTTACAGGCAGGCTGGAGGGCCGGTCCTGCTGTATGAGGTTCATGTCCTCGTGGCTGGGCTTCCCCGGAGTCATGGAGGGCTGGCTTCTGTTCCCATAGCTTTCCTGAGGAACCTCCTGCGGGGGAAGAAAAAAAAAAGCCGAGTCAGGACGGCACGCGTTTCCGAGACGTCTTCAAACAAAGAGCCGCCTGCCGCCGCCCGGCTGGACTGCTGGGAGCGCGCCACACGGAGCCAAGCTGTTAGTTCAACACCTCCCTGTTCAGGCCCAGCAGCGGTAATGAAGTTCACAGGGCTCGTGCGTTCAGGGGCTCCATTTTTACCGTGCGGCCGGCGCACGGCGGCACGATCTGGAAACTGGAGGCTGAAGCGGAGACCCGGAAAAGAAGACGCCAGCCAGCGTCACACCAGACACGGGTGTAAACAAGTAGGTGGGGGTCGTGCTAAAGTCTTCGATGCCGGAATCTGCAGGGGAACCCTGACCTCACAGTCCAAGAACTTTGCATCCCTGGCTGCAGACAAAAGTGGAACTTTTTTCCAAAGACGAGAGGGCACATTAGTAAGAGCAAGCATCGTCACCTAGCACAGGATCCTTTAGGTGTCTCAAACTATAACCGCGAAGAGTGTAAGGCTCTTTATAATGGCCTGTGTGGGATTTCTCTGCCTAGGGTGTACGTGAACGATGTCTTAGGCGTCACGGCATCATCACTGATGCGACATTCAGCGCACACGCGGCTAAAAATGGCACAGCTCCTCGGCTCCTCATCAGAAGCAACTCAGCTTCTGCTTTCGCCCTTATTGATCTTCACAGCCATCAATTTCAGTGTGGAAATTTGCAGGCCGAAAAACAGCCGGAAGAACGACACTTTCAATTCCCAGTGAATTAAAAAATCAGGAATTTGCCTATCTGAAACTAGGGCGTATTAACATGCGGCTGCTCCAGAAAAAAAAACACTCAATGAAACAGACGCTTTTATCAAAACATTTAGTCAACTATCCCCACAGATAAGCTAATTTTGTTCAATTTTGCTCTGTAACCCAAACCCTTCTTGCCGTGTCAATTCCTTCTACAAAAGGACACATTCCTAAATCCCACTGGAACCGATTAATCACGTCAGCTTCGATATGAAAACTCATCTTGATTTAAGTGTTATTAATTAGCCCAAGCACTAGAGCGAACAAGAAAAAACTGGCAAGTAGCTAGCAATGCAGAAACGCAGCCCTACCTAAAGTCTTTGATTTCTAGCACACACGATTCACGCAGGATCAGAAATAGATTACTATAAAACTTTTTAGAGGTATTATTTTTCCTCAGAAGGTAGGTCGCAGCAAGCAGCTCAGCAAGAGAGTAATGGCATCCTATAATTTAGCATTAATTGGTTGCTTCGAGGCACGATGTTTAACGTGACCATAATGACTATGTTTAGTAATCACAGTTTCTAGAAACAGGGATGAGAAATAACCCACATCTTCAAGATCCTGAAGCGAGGACAGTACAGAACTCTGAGCACCGCGATATTCCTTCCTGCACTACCCTACCAAGACATGAAACAGCTGTTGTCCAGGATGGTGACAAAAGGTGACATTTCAAAACTCACCTGGACAGATGGACAAGCAAACATTGTTAAAGAACCCGTTGGGTTTAACCCCCTCAACACAGCTGATTCAACTGCAGATACTTTAGCACAAATAGTTCAAATATATGCTAATTGTTAATTCAATATTTTAATTAGGGAACACGATCAAACACGAAACCACAGTAAAAATATCAAGAATGTACCACAACAAGACGGCAGTAGTTAGCATTGCTGCCTCGCAGCTCTAGGGCCCTGGGTTCAATTCCAAATTTGGGGTGCTGTCTAGGTGGAGTTTTGCATGTTCTCCCAGCATTCAGGTGGGTTTCCTCCCATAGTCCAAAGACGTGCTGGTGGTTTTAATTGGCTTCTGGGAAAATCGGCCCTGGTGCTAGTGTGTGTGGCTGTGTGTGCCCTGCGATGGACTGGTGTCCCGGCCAGGGGGTATCCTGCCTTGCGCCCGTTGCTTGCTGGGATAGGCTCCGGCTCCCCAGTGACCCTCTGTTGGATAAACCGGTTTGAAAATGGATGGGTGCACCACAGCAATATAGCAAAGAGCATCTAAAACATTTTTGTTAAATTTGCGATTCAACAAAGAGGTGTACAACTGTATAACGCTATTGGCTGGCTTAGGACATAAAAATGTTGAGTCAGACATAGTTCAGTGAGTTTTAGATTGAAAAATTTAAAGTTTGACGTTTGATGGGTTTTAGGTTACCATTAACAAAGTAGATGAAAAACACTGAAACAGGAGTCAGTGACAAACCAATGTGGGAACACAGTTGTAATTTGTGTGTGTTATTCTATGGGGGATTTTGTGGTTTAATGCAGATCCCTTTTGCACCAAGTATATCCAGTGCTATCCACACCTGCAAAAGGAAGAACCTGATACTACACCAGGTACAGATTTTGCTGAAGCAGGGGGGATAGGGAGGGTCAGCTGAAATTTGCAGCAAAGGATAAGGCTAAATCCACAGAGCTTCGGACTCTGTTCGAAAGCCGAAGGTTTTAAACCCATCGGGCCCTCAGTGAAAGTACTAATCGGGTCGATGGCACTGCCCGACAACATCGCTGAATGCTGCTGCAGACGAGGAGTGTTCCAGCCTACAGCTGACGAGCTGAAGTTGTGTTACAGCTGCGACCAACTGCGGCCTCCGCAATTCGAACAGCCTGCTGCCCGCTATTTCTTTAAGAGCTGTGTGCCCTTTTGATCCAAGCAGAGCGCCACTTCTGTTTCTTGATTCTATACTGCTTAAAGAAATCCCCGGATTTCAGAGCGTGACATTCCCCAGCTCTGCAAAGCACATGCAGGAAGACTACTTAAGCAGTTAATGTTCGGGGACCCTGTTGAAAGACAGGCTTCCCCGAACCCTGCAAAAAGTGCAAACCGCTGCCCGATGATTCTTGTTCAACCCAGAGGATGCAGAAGCACCAGTCTGTGTATGGCCACACGTTTACGCCTCAGAGACAAAGCTAGTCATGCCGCGTGTTGTCCTTTAACAAATTAGAGGTGAGGAGTCCTTTTATTCTAATCAGTTTACAGGAACAAAACGCAGTATTACATCACTCACAAATGTACTGTTTTTATGAGGACTGTCCTGTGAAAAAATGTAACATTTCTCCTCAGTCTAAGTGGACCTCACCTTCTGAACAATACCATAAGGTATCTTTATTCACCAACACCGCATCTCTCAGCACTGACCAGGCCCAGGACATCTTTGGCCTCCATGATTATGCTACAAGGTTGGTACCGTCGGCTCATATTTTAGACGCAAGGCATTTTAAAGACCCCTATTTATTTTCTTGCTTTTGAAATCTTCAAAGAGCAAGCAAACACCCGTCTAAAACTTGAAGTGCATTTGTCTGTGAGTGAGACGGATTCTGTAATGTTAGACCACACAATCCCCAGGCAAACAGGGCAAAAGCAGGGCACTGGTCCTCTCAATGCTATGATGACTATGGAAGAAGGGAGTTTTATTTCCCCACCAGAAGTCACAGTTTTGGAATAATAGGGGGAAAATAGGGAAAACCATTCTATATGCCTTGTCCTTCCTTGTTAAAAAATGTAACGGTCTTCTACATCTAATTACTCCTAATCTAATAATGCTCGCACATAGGAAATAGCCCGGGCAGGACAAACCTGACTGCAAACAAAACTGTACCAGAGCGAATGGTGGTTAAACTCCCCCTCACATCTAATGATAATGATAATGTTGCTTTATTAGCCCTATACAATTTCTTGCATTAGTAATTCATCTTTTCGCATACCCCAGCTTGCTCGCCATGAGACACACAGACAGGGAGAGAAGCTGCGGGTCAGAGCGCAGGGTGAGCCCCTGGAGCAGTTGGGGTTAAGGGCCTTGCTCAGGGGCCCAACAGAGTAGGATTCCTCTGCCGGCTGCGGGATTTGAACCGGCAACCTTCCAGTCACAGGCACAGATCCTTAGCCACAGAGTCCGCTCCCACCGACGCGCAGTTCAATTGTTTTGTCCTCAGTAGTGCGCCGGTCCTGCACAGAATCACCTTGTGAACCCCTGAATCACATCGCAGGGTAACTGTACAAATCATTTTCTGCATTAGCAGTTACCTGACTCACAGATCGCAGGGTCTTGGCTCAGGCACAGCAGGCCGGTGTCAGATTAGGACCTTAGGTTAAAGACAGGCAGTGTAATGAGGTAGCCAGCAGAGGGAAACATTGTTTCCTCAGCGTGACACATGCAGGCAAGCCAACAGCGTTTACCTAAAGACAACCCAGATACTGAAACGCCACTGCTGAGAACAGCTACTGGAATCAACAGTAAACCCTATTCGTAGTCCTTTCCTTGGGGAAAATGCATATAACTGCAAGGCACAACTACAAAAAAAACACAGGCCAATGCAATTTATCCTGCTGATTTTATCAAATATATGCAGCAAAAAAAAAAAGAACCTTTCACGGAATGGAAACCAGTGGTGAATTCATTCGCAGGATTCGCACAATTTCAATCCCTCAACTCTACCACCGTAATTCACTTGCAACGGTGAATCTAAAATTGTTACTCACTGTGTTTTGTTAAGCACCTAATGCGAGATTTTCACCCACCCCTCCGTTTTTGTACGATTTTATGCGACGGGCTTAGACCGGGATGAGTGGTGATTTATGTTTTCAGAATCCCTTAAGAGATGTTACAGCACCAGAACAGCCTTCACTATATTCAGTGTGGCTGCAGACTCAGGACAGTAGGAGGGGTGGAGAAGTACTGTAATGCTGTAATGTACATTGAAAGAGCAGAAAGAGGTGGCCTAGAAACATCTCACACATTGAGAGATTGAAACAAGAATCTGTGCCCGGATTTGAAATGATGACCAACTGGTGGAGAGGGACAACGTCCTAGCATAGGAGTCTGGGGGTATTTTAACTGTATTCTGATGATTTGTGGGAAACCATAGTCCCATCGATCACTTTCAGATACTTTGTGTACAGTATGATCCTTGAGTCTAAATTTGTGAAAGCCCAACGTCGCATCCTGGCGATGTTTCACTTTTAGCCACAGTTTTATGCAAA